CACCTTACCCGAACCCCTTGACCTTGATGAAGAATGCACCCCTCCACCGACAACGCTCACACCCCACTCATATACCGACATACTAGAACAACAGCAGAGAACACGCCCTTACAACTTACGAAATAGAGAAGCATGAAACAGAACTTAGTGCTGCTTTTCACTACAAAACATTTTCGAAGTGTTTCACCTTCAATAAACGGTCGTTTCCCAGCCGGGGTGAATGTTATATTGTGGTTATCTTGTTTATGCACCCTCTTATATTGCGTATTACATACACCTCTCTCTATTACAGCTCATGTACCGGATTTATTAGTTGAATAAAGCGTATAATTCCGACTCCGAATCTTCTCTGTTCCGCTCTCGTTTGCTTGATTCGTAAAACGTTACAACGTACACATCAGTATGAAAATGTTCGCTAGTCAAAGTCTCTGAGGGTCAGTGAGTGTGAGCGCCCATCACAGGGTTGTGAACTTCAAGTGGATCGCAGAAACAACATTATCAAGGAAATAAAGCTCCAGTAGAGTCAACATTTGCGATGTGGTTGATCGATTCACTCCCATTCTACCTGGTGCATTTATTCCATACAAGTTTTACGATGAGATGGGGAAAGACATTGACCAAACTTATATAGCCAAACCAACTTGAATTAGTCGCTCAGGGAGGATAGAAAATAAGTGATGTAATTGTCTATTGTTCATCATATAAATCTATCTCGGCTCGTGGACCGAGGCGATCCAGTTGGCGATTAATAGAACTAACACGATAAGCTCTGTCGTGTTTCCACTACAAATGAAGATATTTCACATTTGGACGAGAAGGCACGCTCTGCAGTCTGATCATTGTGGACCGACAAGAGGACTCTTTCTAATTTGCTGATTAATTGTGTCGCGATCTTAAAGATGAATACAAAGGTATCCAGCTTTTTGGGGGGCTGGGGGGAGGTAAAATGTTGCAGGCTCTAGGGACGATAATAACCCGAAGAGGACAGAGAACGAAATCAGGCAAGACTGAACAGTACTATCCTATTCTCACAAGAAATTAGGAGGAAAAAACATGAGACAAGTAGTTTCGGTGAAATAAGATGAAAAAGTAAAACTGTATGGAAATGAACGATCTTGAGTGTCTGAGAAAAATGGTGGGCAGAAATCATGTTCTCATTATTTCAGCATGACCCCAGAAACTAACCACAAGGATGAGGAACAGTCAAGACCGTGTATTTTTTCCTTTTTTTATCGCATGTTATTGTTTTGCGTGGCTCTTCTCGTACAACGCCATTCGTTCAGTTACAACCGTTTCCCCTAACCTGCCCTGGGGTTAATCACGTATCAACCAAAGTGATTAAGGACGGAAGAGTCTGAGATAGGTGTGGAGTGGAAGAAAACAGTGAATGGTGCAGAAAGCGAGCGAATCTGTGCCAGACAAGCACAATAAAAAGGTATGTGTATATAGTAGGAGGGGAACAGAAGAAGAACAATATAATGAACGAGAGTTAGTCATTTAGAGCAAAGTTACGAAACACAGAAGACAAACAGGTAACAAAGGAGAGTACTTGTATGAGAAGATAGACAGCAGACAATTTGATAGCTATACAGTCATACAGAAAAGCTGACTGGTTAGTTAAGATTAACGTAAGTGCGTATATATGTATATGAATATGAATATATATATATATATATATGTGTGTGTGTGTGTGTAGGATGGAACAGAAAACGCACGTGACCAAGTTGGAATCCATGTGACTAGTCAGTTTGCGGCTATCGTCAAAATGAAATTAAACGCAATCGTACGAAGACAAACAGAAGAACAGATGAGGCGAGCAACACAGCTAGTGAGCATATACGCACAATGAGAATGGAAACTATCACAGCCCAAATCACATAAGCACATTCGTTTAGAGAGAACGATGTGAGCTGGGCAAGAGGGATGGAAGGACAAGGGAAAATGGTGAATCACAGGTATTACAACCGGAAGCAGTGCCGCAACTCGGTTGTCAAAATAGAGAGAGAGAAAACAAAACGACTCATGCATGTGTGCAGATAGCAAACTGCCAAGATATAAGTAGAAACATACTTTGGAGAGCACATATTTGAGGGGTTGAAGAAAAAAATAAAACTTAACGGTCAATCACTTCCTGTGAAGAACTCCACTAACAAGAATCGGCATCCAGCAGTGAAATACGAGGAAAAAGACGAGAACGGATTGATCGTTTGAAGGGTTTTGGCAATCAACGAGTGCAGAAAGAACATGGTAACGAGTAACAGAAGAGAACAGGCGAAATATCAATATGCTATTGTTATGAAGCATTTAGTGGAGATTTAGTACATCAGCGTCCATGTACCACATGAAAGAAAGCGGCATAGGTGCATTTTGTCTCAGCTTGCGTGTGAATGTGAACGTTGCACAATGGATGTCCAATTACAAATTCTTCAGGGCCTCAAAAAATCCTATGCTGATTTGACATAGATTACACTTTCGCGACGGCGCACAGGAAGAATAAGATGAGTGAGCGGAGAAAAAGAGGTGAAAGGATGGACAGTGCGTGTAAAACGGGGGTGGGTGGGGCACGTGGAACCTGAGTCATTTTCTCCTTAGCTCGTCATCATGACCCCTTTGAACAAATATAAACAAAGTTGTTCAGGAAACAGAACGCTGTCGGGAAACGTGAGGTGGTGACCCAATGGTCGTTCGACTCGAAGTAGACAGTGTCGATCGAGCTGGCGGTGGACGAAGAGAACCACGCCCATTAGCTGGAGTAGTTCCAGTATGTGATTGACTTGCATCCTGTGTAACAGCAACAATCATTAGAGCAACACATGTTCGCCTCTCCAAACTTGAATCCATTGTGGCTCGGAATGTAACGGACACGTGATGTGCGTGTGTTTGCCCCCCGGTAGGTGTGTTCCCAGTTCGCGCTTGATCCCAACGGAGTGGGAACAAAGTAGTGGTAAACGCGGCCCGTCCTAGTGGCTTTTGTTGCACATGACCGTCTAAACACACTGTATCGATCAGACACGGACCGTCGTCATCCATCCACAAGTCATAACAGGCTGGAGGCAGCAAACGACCGTGAACAAGTAGTAGTATGGGAACAACAGGTCGAGAATTGTTCAATTTAGCCCAATGAAAGGGATGTGGCCAGGTGAATCGTAAAGACACACTCTGCTGACGTGTGTGAACCCACTGACAAGGGGAAACTAGACCCACTTGAGAGAGACCGGCTCGGGTAAGCCAGTTACGCACGAGCCCAGTTACACGGACCGATAGACGGGCATGATGCACCGCGACCAAATCGTACAAACGTCGTAAACTGTCTACAGAGGGTAAACCTATCAGCGGTCGTATTCCATCTTCGTTGGCTCCGTTGTTCGGGTGATGGTGCCATTTGGTGTTTACGTGTGGTGAATAATGTGCTAAGGAAGGTGCGGTAGAAGTGCACATTGTAGTTGTGTTTGTTGTGGTGATGTTGTCCGATGCGTTAACACTGGATCCAGCCGTAACAGCCGAATGAATCATAGCGTTAAATAGTATCGACTTTGGCACTGTAGGAATCTCGAATCCAGGTGGGGGCGAAGGAGGAGGGACAGGAGGCAGCTCGCTGTCCACGCTACGTCGACGATCTTGTGCCTCCGCCACGGAAAGTGGAGGCAGTTTGGACAATGGAACAGGAGTGGATGAATACGCATTGATCAACTTCATGACCAAACTGAGAGCAGTAGTGCCCGTTTCCACCTGTGGAACAGTAAATAAAAAACGAACAGTCAAGAACCAGTTTGGAGATAAACGATATCATTATGGCTAGCAATAAATAATTTACCTTCAAAGCCTATGAGCCGAATCCGCTCTAGAATAAGTGAACATATTCAAAATAACAAAGAACAAGAAGCACTTTTTGAACAACCCGAGTTGACTCAGCTAATGTGATCGACAAGAGTATATTTGGTTGTAGTATTTTGATGGTGCATCTGGATGACAAAAGACGGCATCACATAACTCGTAGACTACAGTTGCCAAAAACAAGTAATCCCTTCATTCTGTTGACACGTTCGCATCAACGGTTTTGTCTATCATAAATGAATAGCGGCCAGGTTGTTAAAGACAATTCGAACCTGATGTTCCCAAGTGTTGAGACAAATTAAACCCAAATAACCTCAGATCGACGGATTTCGTGATTCCAACAGGCTGATGAAAGGAAGCCTATTCTTTGTTCTGTCTAGCACGAATAGGGAAAATATTAATGCGTTCCAAAAACAAAGTTGGCTACATGAAATTCACTGTCACTGTAGGAAACTTGTAAGTTGCTTTTTCCAAAAACTTGTACCACAAGAAAAAGTCAGTACGACACGGAGCTAACACTCTCGCTAGGTTATAGCACGGTGCACAACATGAATGAGCTTTGGTAAGTTGCTTCTGTAAAACATCCTAATACCGGTTTGTGACAAACATTGAGGTGAGTCCATGCACATCGGATTGATTGTGACAAAAATGCGTGGATGGGATTTCGAGACCACATAATGTGTAGTTGTCTGGTAATATTGATCGATCAAAACCAGTAGGTTGGTAGCAGTGGTGGTTATTTTTATTACTTGTCTCCCTTTTATTGAATACGACAATCTTCAGGAAGGGAGAAGCGGTGAATCAAAGGGCTGCTATATGACACAGACGGCGTGGAACGTCAAGCGGTGGTCTGCTGATTCGAACGCACGTTCTCCGGGGTGATAATTTGATCTCTGCCGCTTGACTACCATCGCCACGATGAAATCAGCAGTTGCAGTGGTAACCAAGTGGTTTAAGTCGCTGGTTTGCTTTGGTTTATAAGGTTCGAAGGTCGAATCTTGCCGCCACTAACCAAATTTAGTGGAAGACGGTGGTCGTCCGACTTCATACCACTCATAAGCTTTAAGGGTCAGGTTGCCATAATTGGATAGTATGTCCTCGTGCCACACTCCTTTTGCTGTGAATCCCGCAATGGTGTGTATTAAAAATTTCAAACAAGTCTATGCCAGCATTTGTTTCGAATAAGGAAGAAATTTTATCACAACTGTGGAAAGAAGTAGACCTCATTTGTTTCACATTATAAAAACATTGACAGTATCAAAGACACGATGTAGGTATACAAATTGTGATAAAACTTCACGCGATTAAATGAACTTACTTCGTAGAAATTGGCGCCAGCCAATATTAGCATATGAGCCATGTCCACGTCACCCGCAGCAATAGCTACCCCAAGGGCTGTTCGGCGTTTCGGACCAGGCTCCACACTGTCTGGATAGGCTCCAGCATCAAGCAGAGCTTGCGCTGCATGTAAGCGACGCAAGCGGACAGCATATACCAGTAGAGGCCATTGGGCTCCTTCGTCCGTGATGCGGCCATTTGGATTAAGTCCAGTGCGGAGTAAATGGTCTAGAACAATTGGCCGATCACCGCCAGCCTGGAGGGCGGCGGTGAGAAGTTCGCTGGATGTTTCACTATCAGCTTGACTAGACCATGGTAGGGTCACTTTATCAGGTTGAGCTACATAACCAGTGGGTTTCGCATTAGGTGAACAGTGCTCGGTTACTGTGGACAAAAGACTCCAGCGTTGTGCATTAATTGCTTCAAGAAATTCCTCACGTGAACGAATAGAGGCCTGTGGACTGTAGTTCACCAAGCGTGGAAGATCATCCAGAGAACGAATTTCATCGTTAGCATTGCTGAACTCAACGGAATCCGTTTTTTTCGCTTCAGGACTCGTTCGCTGAACATAAGCAATCAAGCGAAAGTAGTCTTGCACTAGTTTGCGTAGTGAATAAACTATTGGGCCCTGTCTGTCAGAGGATTCTTCACGGGGTTCCAACAGTTTTTCTTCTGTATTCTCTACCTCCATTGAATTGGATCGCTAAAATAAGAATAGTAAACTCAACAATGTGAATAATGAACAAGGAATTCTACATATGAATGATTATTCTGTTGTCGGGTTGTTCATTTGTTACCCTTCGCATGTCTAAACATTCAAATAAAGTGTATCAAACGAAAATATAACCCTGACTTCATATGAGCACTCACCATAGAGACTGAATGGTTATACGTTTCAGGAGTTGTTGGAACACAAGAACACATTCTGGTGCGACACGTACTGAACTCTCAATTGTCACTTTGAATCAGGAGATCAGCTTTTTCGAGATTTCAAAACCAACCAGGGAGCTCTGTCGGTTCACTGTCACATAATCAGCATTTCACGTGCTATACAGCGAATTATTGCGTGTACTNCGATTATCTACTGATGAGTCTTGGGATTGCAGACCTGAGTTATAGGAATCTTATGCATGAGCTATGGTAGCGGTGCACGTAGAGATATGGTACTAAGATCAACGATGCTTATGAGAACCGAATAGCTAAATGCACGGAATAATAATATTGCCTTCTCGTGCATAGTGATGTATATATGTATGCATGTATCGTTAGACTTTGGATCGTTATAACACAGTATCTTTGTTTACTGATAATGTAGTCTTTATCTTTCTTTTGTAACCTATGTGTCTACATTGTTGGAAAATTAAAGCCTCGTTTCCCGTTCTCCGTTTTCTCTCTCGCTCATCGCTTAATCATTTGAGTTCATTACAATTTAATTTTTTACGGTGGGTCGCTTATTTTGCGCAGAGCGATTTCACACCGACAGTCATTCTTCAGCAGCTTCCGAACAGTGGTCTCGTAAATTTATCTCTACTGTCGATTTACCTAACATGGATACGAAAAAGTTGCTGGTGAATTTTATATTCACGTCGTTTACCAACACAATCGATTGTCCCAGTTATGGAAACGCTATCAAAATTCCTAAGGGGCTTTGCATTCAACCGAAGTGTTCGCGCAACATCCATCCGCAGCAGCACGACAAGAACAAGGACTTTCCCCATTTGTGTGTTGTATGGCAGCCCTCTGATTGGCCGCTTCCCTCTTCCTGAAAATTGTATCTTTGTATATTCAATAAAAGGAAGTAAAATGAAAAAGAAAAGAAAAGGACAACCGATTGATAAGGTTACGCGAAAACTCGGAGCTCTCACAGAGGATTGTAGCTTCGTCGCAATTTCTGCCGAGAGACGTCGCGATGAGGCTATCTGTGAAGCGTTCACTAGGGGGTTGTTTTCCAATGACATTCGCCAAAGCCTTCTCGAGAAGCCCAACCCGAGTTTATAGTTTGCCTTTAACGAGGCCCGTACTTCGGAGAATGCACAGCAGCAGTAGCTCACCATTCAGTCTTACACGTACCCAGTGGTTCCATAACTAACCAGATAGATTCCACCATTTCACTGCAACGTCCTGGAGATCATGATCGACAACCAGAGACCAAATACGTAGTTGCAGTGGATCCCACTCAATGCTTTTTCCGCGAAAGTTGTCCGCATTCTCGTGCGAAATGCCCAGCTCAAGAAACCACAGTTAATTCTTGCGGAAAGGGCATTTCCAAAAGGTTTGTCGATTCCATTCCAGCACTCATCCCAGACGTGCATTATCTGAGCTAAATCATTTCGTCCGTTGCAGTTTCATTTATCCTAGTTCGCACCAAAGATCTGCGCCAATGGAATAACTCTGAACGCGCTAATCGATACAGACAGTTGCGAGAGTTATCTGTGCACCAACATCGCTGCCGAACATCAATGGCCTGTAGAGCCAGCGAAACATACCATCTGTCCTGTGTTACCCTAGGGCAGGTGTACGCCTGCTTTGGCCTAGCAGTATCGCGCCCTCGAGCAAATCATAGACCTTTTTATTCTTATGAAGATTAATGTACCGTGGTTTGTTCGACATACAGTCTAAAATCAGACGTGTGTAAATAAAATAAATGAATAATACGCCTCTATTCAATAAAAAATCACACTACAATAGGGTAAAACTTTTCCTTTAAAAAGATTTATCCACCGATGTCGTCCTCGGTCTAGATTTCCTCAGTCAAAATCAAAATATAATCAACCCCTTTAAAAGCAATTGTTCACTTTTCTTTGTATGAAACATCAGTACAACAAAAGTGGATATACGTCCTTTGTTTAAAAATCTAGCCCCAAATTGTGCACTTCTCGCTACGAAATCGCGCTGCCACTCAGTTTTTGATTACAATTTTGTCGAAGCCGAAGTAAAATATTGATATTCAACAGGATTATAGAACCTTTCACATCTTGGCGGGCACAGGTACTTGTGTTGTGAGATACTACTCACAAATGTGGGTACTACGCAAGATAATGCGATGGGCGGTTTCTCTCAACGGTCAAAAACAAACAAAGCCGCTTAGAGGGAATTGCTGTGCTCTAAAGAATAACTACGGAATGTTCCATTCATTACCCTGTGTGCTGCCGAAAATCGTGGTAACCTGTTTCAAATGAGATATGTTATATGTATGTCAAATTATCGATATCCTAACTGTACTCCATAATAAACAACTATCCTTGACCAGGTACCACCTTGTGGAATTGTAACACTTGTAATAACCAACGGGGGACATGAGAAACGGATAGCAATTGACTACAGTCAAACGGTAAACTGTTTCATTTATCCCGATGCCTATCCCCTGCCACGAGTGAATGAACTAGAGGAAAACGTGACTCAATATTATGTGCTCAATACACTTGATCTGCAAAGCGCCTATCACTAAATTCCCATTCGAGAAGAGGAAAAGCCATATACGTCATTCGAGGCTTGTGGTAAGTTGTATAAGTTCTGTCACATTCCGTTCGGGATTACGAATGGCATGGCCTGCTTTCAACGTACGACAGATAATATAATTCATAAAGAACGTCTACAAGAAAAATTCGCTTACGAAGAGAACATCATAGTGAGCGGCCGTGACCCGGAAGAATGTGATCAAAATCTCCACCAAGAAACACGGTATAACGCTCAATGGACACAGGAGCTAGAAAAATTCTTCTCAGGTACGAAGTTTCTAAAGGCATAATCAAGCCAAACCCCGACTGATTCCCGGTCTTGATGGAGTTACCTCCCTGAAGGATATCGCTTCGCAAAGACAAGTGGTGAGGATGCAGGCGTGCTATGCCTATTAGATTCCACACTTCTCACATAAAATTCACTCTTAAGTGCATACTGTGACGAAGAAACACGAGTGTGGCGCCAATCGAAAGGCGCGCGCACGACAGCACCAAACCTTTCCCATTGAATACTACGTAAAATCATCTTTCGAAGAACTAGAAAAGGCCAGTATTTTATCGTTGATTACAGCCGCCCACCAATCGTTGAGACTGACGCTTCCGACATTGCAGCAACACAGAAGTGCAACGGAAGTTCGGTGACCTTCTTCCCACGTACCCTATCCCCCAGCGAGCGCCGTCACTCAGCGATCGAAAAAGATGCGTGTGCAATCGCAGATGCGTTTAGCTGCCATTGTTTACAACAAGCGGGACAAAGGTAAAGTGAAAATCGATAAAATTTAACGATGAAAATTTCAGCTATTACGCACCCACTACGACACTCAGTATGGAATTGCGGGAAGGGGGAATCATTCTCTCGAAGCTGATGTATTTCAGCCATGTCACACACTGACCCCAACAATTACCGACCCATTTCCCTCATCTCTGTTCTTTCGAAAGTATATGAAACTAACATCTCTGACCAACTACGCACGTTCCTTGAACGAGGACAACTGAGCGACCGCCAGTATGGTTTCCGAGAGCGTCGTTCCACCGGCGACCTTCTGGCGCTTGTCTCTCAATCCTTGTCAGCTCCACTCGATAACCACGGAGAAACACACCTGGTCTCGCTCGACATCTCAAAGGCCTTTGACCGAGTTTGACACGAAGGTCTACTGGGGAAACTACCCATGTTCGGGTTCCCTTCAGCGCTCGTAGCATGGATATCAAGTTTCCTCAATGAACAAACCATCTCCGTCCGAGTTGATGGGGTCCTATCCCAGCCATTCCCTGTGAACGCTATTGTTCCCCAAGGTTCAGTACTTGCGCCCACCCTCTTCCTTCTATTTATCAATGATCTCCTTTCCCAAACTACCAACCCGATCCATTCTTCTGCTGATGACACCACCCTCCACTGCTCTCTCTCCTACCGCACTGCTCGCCATGCCCAAAACAACATCGATGGTGACCGTAGTGCAGTTACTGCGTCACTGGACTCCGATCTCGAACACATCTCCTCGTGCGGCAACGTAAACTATGTTTCATTCAATAGTTCTAAAATCTCTGTTCTTTCAATTTCTTTAAAACACCTGCTTATGCTGAGGAAGCCACTAATGAATTGCCGACTCTGAGCTCTGTTCTGCCTCCTTGCAGGTCTAGTTTTCGAGCCAAAGGCTTCGGGTTAGGACCCCGAGGTTATCCATCATCCTCGGTCAGAGCAACCAGGAAGGGACATGCCCACACAACCTATGAACACATTTCACACATTTTTTCTTCATATGTGCTGGCACATNTGCCAGTTTCATGTAATTGGTTACGTGCTGAAATAGTGAAATAAAAGATATAGAAAGGCAAAAACTTCCAACTTTGTTAATCAGACCACGCTGGATGGTCTTTGATTGACCAAGCCCCAAGAATGTATTAAGGCAACTGACTGCAATCCTTGATTGGTACGGCGGTGACCAAGTGATTAGGTCACTAAATTGTTACCTAGGAGTCCCGGGTTCGAACCGCTCCACCGCCACCGGTCTTCCCTAATTCCGTATTTTCCAGGCAGCCTTTGTATGGTTGCGGCTCTCTTCCTGAATGTTGACTATATTTGTACACTCAATAAATGAAAAAGGAAGTAAAAAGATGTTATTTATTTTAAAAACTTCTTTAAAAACTTCAACCCACACCGACGACCGCCTACATAATCAAATTAAGAATAACAGTGAATCATAATAAGGATAAGAATAAGAGTACTCACCAGGGGAGAATGTGTTTCGTCATCGATATGGTTGTTAAAAGCAATTGGTGAAAGGGCCACATCCACGGATGACACCTTCAGGTGATAAGAAGAGGATGCCGATGGCACGCACAACCCAGAAGTTTGGATATCCAACACCTGATCCTCAGACTGGGTCGCACAATCAGCGGTGGAACGAATAGGCATATCATGAGGAGTTTCCAGCTCCACAATTGAATAGCATTGAGTCATATCTGAGATAGGTTCAGATAGAGCTGCTTCAATGGGATCGGTCAGATGGGGTTTTAGTTGCTCGGACTCAGTGCTGTCTACTGTAGACTGAAATCCGCTTAATGAACCACCGGCGTGGATCGAGTCAGATGCAGGGGAAGTGGGCTCTCGCTTCAAAGAGCACGAGGCCAACGGATCTATGGAAGTTTCGACATCATGTTCCGGATCGCCTTGAACACTATTACTTGTGCTATGTACAGACTCGGTACTCGTGTTTGGATGAGATGTCTCGTTCATGCGCCTGCGAGTCTTCACACGTGAATATAAATCGTTTGAACTCAGATCTATTTTCCCGTCCCGAATATCATCAAAATACTTTGTTTTCGAAGCGACCAGTTCGTGTTTTGGCACGTACTCGTAACGACCACTGGTTCTCGATTTTGGACCGTGCTTGCGTTTTAGCCCTAATGGATGTGAATGGCGTTCCTCACTTGCACCCCGGAGCCGCTTGGCTAAAGAACAGCCTGGCGTAGAAGGGGGCGTGGGCAGGGAAGCAGGGGAGTTGGCGCAACCCGAGGGACAATCTTTTGCCAAGTCACTTCCTGTTTTAGACAGTTCTTCCGTTTGGCGTCGATGGTATAAATTGATGGCCTCAAGCACATTAGACAGATTTTCTTCTGGTTCCCAACTGTCCGCCTCAGGAGGAAACCCTTGCCACCGCACTTTATAAAATTTTTGACCCTTAACAATTCGCTCCCCGAGGATATCCTCTACCAAGTACACTGAATCGGACTCGGTTGTTGAACCGCCCTGAGAAGTATGAGTGCGAGAAGTATGGGTCGTGTTGACAGAGAGTACGGCCGTACGATTGGAAACGCGGCGTTTTTGACGGCGCCGACAAACGCGTAAATGTTTCCGCATCGAATTTTCTCCGATGGAGGCCATAGCCTAACGGAGAACATGCCCTAGAAAAAGTAAATGGATTGCAGTAAATCATTTTATCTACCATAATGATACTAGACGTTACCACAATAACGTTTTCCAAAACATTAAATAAAGAGGTAAGAAACAGAAACTACTAATATGGATACCGCAAAATTACGATTATTTTTTTCCATTACGATGAGGCTGTACCTTGACGGGGTGTGATGGCTTGTGCACCTCTGTGACCCAACGAGCTACACAGGATGGCTTTTGTCGAGCCATAGATCCAATCATGCCCGGAAGGTCAATGGGTAGAAGTCAAACAAAGTCCAGTCTCTTGGTCCTCCAGGTTGAGGATTCGACTTGAGTTGACGTCTCATTCGGTAAAACTTGTTGGAGGAGTAGTTGATCCAAGTTAATGGGCCTCCACTCCGCCTTACCCGCTGCCTTGTGTTATGGATCTTGTCACAACCAAAGGCTTTAGTTGAGAACCCTGATCGGTCTCCAGCTTAGTGGCTGGACACCCTAGCAGTACCCGTCCATAAAGCTCCATATATATATATATAT